TCTGTCTAGTGTGGAGGTCAGTGGGTGATGAGTTTATAGAAAACTAAGCAAAATGGATAAAGGAGATGCTTATCTCTGAAGAAATAAAAAGGTTGTGACTGAAGAAAATAAAATACGGTACACCACAGGGCATGGCTGGAAATAATATTTTTATAACCATAACAATGTGAACACTGGATACTGATATAGGTAAAAATGGTGACTTTCAGAGAATAGGAAAAGGAAAATGGGGCTGTAGTGAGAAATATTCATTTTCTATATAACCAGGAGGTAGCCCTTTAGAAATGTTATTTAGGAATATGGAGGTAAATTACATAAGAATGAAGTAAGAGAATTGAGAGTGGTGGCCCATGAAGAAAATGAATGAGGAATGAAGAGAAGTGAGGCAGGGAATGGCTGTTTTTCATTATAAACCTAACTGTATAATTTTACTAAATATTTCCATAGATTACATCAGTGAAAATAAAAGTTAAATTTTAAAAGAAAAAGCTGTAGATCAAAACATACAGTGAGAGCCTATTTATATAACAAAGTGCTGTGCACATGTGTGTATGAACTAAAAGAAAAATCGAAAAAGTGGGAAAATCACACTAACATGGTAAAAGACACTAAAACAACCACACTAAAGTAGTAAAAGTGTCCAGGGGACCAAATGTCTATCAACAGATAAAAGAATAATCAAAATGTAGTCTATACCTACAATGGAATATTATTCAGCCTTCAAAAAGAAGGGAATTCTGACACATGCTACAACATGGATAAACCTCGAGGACATTCTACTGAGTGAAGTAAGCCAGTTGCAAAAGAAGAAATTCTATATGAATCTACTTATATGGTACCAGATGCTGAGAGACAGAATGCAGAATGACGGTTGCCAGGGGCTGGGGGAATAGGGGAGTGGGGCGTTAGTGTCTAACAGGTACAGAGTTTCCGACTGGGAAGATGAAATATGTTGGAGCTGGACAGTGGTGATGGTTGCACAACAATGTGAATGCACTTAATGCCGCTGAGCTGTACCTTCAAAAATGGTTAAAGGATCCATTTTATATGGTGTGTATTTTGCCACGATAAAAAAATGGTTGTAGGAGGAAACATTTTAAGAAACTTTCAAATCTTCCCACTGAGAACGTGTTCATGAACCACTTGTGGGGAAAAACTAAACATACAAAACAGAAAGAGAAATGTGCATTGCTCTAGGGAAGGAAAGAGAGGGGAGAAAGAGAAAGAAATGGAGAAGGAAGCAGCCAGGAGCTACAAGTGGGAGGAGAAGGAAGCTGTGAGGAAGGGTGTGAGAAAGCCCTGGGAGAACAGAATCCTGTGGAGGGGCTTTCTCAGTTCTCTGGGTGAGAGGTGTGTGCTGTGCCTACCTCTGCCAGCCAGGCTCTGAGAGAACTTCCCTTCGCCAATAAACTCAGAAAAATCTCAAAAGCGTATCTCACTTCAGATATTGCTTTTTAACCTTCCCCGCAAACCCCAATGAGGAGCTGCCAGTCACCCAGAATGCTCCCGCTGTCACAACAAACAGCACACTTGGTCAGGTGCACCATAGGACAGGGACAGCCATAGCAGCCAGGGTGCTCCCGAAGTCTGCGGAACTCTCACAGAGTGAAGAGTAAGGAGCGAGGACTCAGCCCAGCAGGCTCATCCTTGGGCGACAGGGGAAGCTCCTTAGAAGGGGAAGCTGGGCTGTGCCCACACTGCCCCTGGAAGCTGATGGCCAGCACTCTGGGAGTTCACTCCTACTCTGAGGAGAGTGGCCACCCACCGCGTGTGTAGGAAGTTGCACAACCTCTTTTGGAGGAAAACTGTTTCCTGGGCTCTTATGTCCTGAAATTGCCTGGCCCTGTACAAACTTCTCAATATGTACACACAGCACTCACAACTGTGCTGCCATAACCCTCTCCCCTAAACCTACTTTACCTGCAAAGGCCTGTTTGGGGTAAGGTGAGGACAAGTGACAGGAGATCTGGAATCACCTCAGGGAAGTTTTCTTTGTCACCTCCTACAGAGGATTTTACATTAGCAGAATGTTAAAACATCCAGAAATCAAGATCACTGTCTTCTAACATAGGCTGAGATAAAATCTGAAAGTACAATATGAGCTTTCAGACAGATGTCAGAATCTAACCATTTAGGGGGAAAAAAACCAAAATACTGTCCATGCCATTACTACAACTCTGAAATTATAAAGTAAATAAACAAGAACTGGAAAGAATGGAAAAATGGTTGTCTGGGTAATGGGACTTGCGCTTTTTCTTTGTGTGCATGTATATTTTGGAATCCTACCACAACCAGTGTTTACTCCATGCCCACTCAACAGTTTTTCATTCAAGCTTCATAACACAGCAGCACTGATATTATCTGCAATTTGTAGATGAGCAAATGTAAATAAAGTCAATAAGGGGGGAAAAACGTCACAGGACAGCAGTCACACAGGAAATAAACTGCTGCACTGGATCCTCTATCTGGACATGCCTTTTGCTCCGTCCCTATGGAATTCACAAGGAAGTGCCTTCTGCTTGGCCCAAATCAGTAGTTTGGCTATTACCATTCTGTTCCATCTTTTAAACTGTCGTTATCTAAACTGAAAGACAAAGAGGTGACAGCCCAGGAACAAAGTGAAAAGACTGAGAAATTTAGGAGGGTATGTGTGTCTAATAGGATGTGACTGAACTCAGTATGACTTAAAACAGTCATTCACAAACATTGATCTTAGGACCTCTTAACACGCTTAAAAATCATGATGTCCCCAGAACTTTGGGAGGCCAAGGCAGGTGGATTGCTTGAGGTCAGAAGTTCAAGAACAGCCTGACCAACATGGTGAAACTCCATCTCTACTAAAAATACAAAAAATTAGCCAGGCATGGTGGTGGGCACCTATAATCCCAGCTACTAGAAAGGCTGAGACAGGAGAATTGCTTGAACCCAGGAGGCGGAGGTTGCAGTGAGCCAAGATCACACCACAGCATTCCAGCCTGGACAACAGAGCCAGACTCCATCTCAAAAAAAAAAAAAAAAAAAAAAATTGTGAGGTCCCCAAAGAGCTTTTATTTGGGTGGGTTATATCCATTGATATTTACCACATTAGAAATTAAAACAGAAAAGTTTTCACATGTTTATTAATTCATTGGAAAATAACTAATCTATTAGTATATTTTATGAAAATATTTTTTTAAAAAAACATTATCAAGAGTAGTATTGTCCTACATTTTTACAAATCCCTTTAATGTCTGTCTTAATGGAAAAGCAGCTGTATGCTCATATCTGCTTCTGCATTTTTCTGTTAGAATACTACACATCATGTAGTCTCTGGAAACCACCACCATACACCATTGAGAGAATGAGAGTGAAAAAGCCAATACTATTTTTTGTATTACTATAAAAACAGTCTGAACTCATAAACCTCCTGAAATGCTCTTGGGTACCCCCAGGGCTCCCTCTACCACACTTTGGTTATAACTTAAAGAACTATGTATGAGAGAGAGGGAAAGAAAAGTGGGGGAGACACTGATGAACAAACCTAGTGTGGGAAGTAGAAAAGTTCCTTTTTAAAGTTTCCTTTCTTGATAAAGAGTAAGTGTGCTAATAACTTTGTTAAGCCCTATCCTTTGTAGCTGTTAGACATGCCATGCTTACAGGCACATAATACATTCTATGTCCTTGTACTTTAACCAAGATATCTTTGCTGGATGTGCTCACAGGCATGTCCCAGCTCTCCACTGCTTTTACCTGTTTTAAAATTTTTTAAGTTGTTAGCCAATCAGGTTTTATTTTCGATTGTGAGGTCTGGCCCCAACCAACAGAGATCAGACACAGCAGTAAGGACGACCACAAATGCTTAAGGGATAAATTTGTGTGTTTTCCTTTGTTCATTGTACTCTGTGGCAAAATGGCTAGTGAGAGTACGCTTCCTACAGTCCAGGAAGTAGAAATTGCGTTGCTGAAAGATCCTTTGTCTCAGCGCTAATTTTTCTTTACGGCACTGATCATCTGGGTGTTTCCAACACCCAGCATCCCACACCTGTCACTTTTCAACTTTCCTAAGCCTCCAGCTTCCCACTAGGTAACCCCAATGCACTTGGAGAACCCCAGATTCTCCAAGAACAGCCTGACATTACTCAAGCCATCTCCTTCCCTTGCGTTTCCGCAAAATAAATTAAACAAGGGCTAAGTGGGCATGACTAACCAGTTAATCCTCCACAGGCATGCACTGACATTTTCAATAGGGGTTTTCTCAAGCTAGAACTCCAAAGCTCTAACTGTGTTTTTTAGACTAACTGAAATGGGTATGGAAAAGAGAGCCCACAGGAGGCACGAGTGCTGAGGTCTGGTCCTGACTGCCCAGTGACTGAGCTGTTTCTCCATCTCCAGATTTGAGCTGCACTCACCCCTCTGCCTGCTTCTCAGAGCTGTCCTGGCATCGGATGACATTGAGGAAGACCTGAGCTCCTCTTAAAACCAAACTGCCCGGCTGGAGCTGCCCACTCTGTACACCTGCACTCCGAGGGGGCCCTGTAAGTCTGTCCCACCCCGACGCCCAGACATGCCCTAGGCAGGGCCACTCCATCCCTGTGCGCCCATCTCATCCTGGTTTTCCTGTCCCCTTCTCCCCACCAAGGGTGGGACGCCGCGGGGCTGGGGACTCAAGAAACAGGTTTACAAACAAGCAAGGCCGATCTTCCAGCCACACCTTCTCAGCCGACACCGCGCCTGCCACCACGAGGCCGAGCCCTGCACCAGACTTCGTGGAGGAGGGAGCTCCGGAGGCGAGGAACACCTCTCAGGGGGCTGAAGAAGTCGGCGGCTGCCGTTTGCGCCCACACATCCTGGGGCGGAGAGCCCGTCGTCTGCAGGTGACGAAGGGGCCTGGCTCACAGGCGCAGCGCACACCCCACCTCGCCCTGCCCGGGGTTGGTGTCCGCAGCGACGCGCCGCGGACCGAGGGGACAGGCTCGGCGGATTCGAGGGCGCGGGCAGGGGCGACAGCCACAGCGCGGTACCTTTGCCGGAAGAGAGGGCAGCCGCCCACGAGCCTGCGCAGCTCGTTCTTAAGGCTCCAGAAGTCGCCGTCCAGGTGGCGGTGCAGGGACGAGTCCCCGAGCCCCAAATTCGGCGCCGGCTCCATAGCGCACGGGTTTCTGCTTTTCTGAACGGCTGGCGGGGCCGGCTTCGCTCCGCGCCTCCTCCAGCTCCCGGCAAGTGGGGCCCGGAGCGCACGCCCTCTTTCTCCCCACCCCACCGCGCTCGTCTCCTCCCTCCTCACCTTCCTGTTTCCTCCCTCCCGGCCCCGCCCTGCCCTGGCTCCCTGGATACGAGGTCCTGCGAGAGTGGGCGCTCCTGCGGTGGCCTCCGCTCGCCTTTCCGAGGAACCAAAACTCTGTCGTCCAGTGGTCAATTATCCCTCCAGATTTGTGGACTACAAAAAGCAAATATTAGATCCCTAGAAGGGGTGCCGGTCCGGTGGACCTGGGCACCAGAGGCCTGGCTGCTTAGGACTGAACCAGTTGACCCACTCAAGACACTTTGCCTGGCCCCAACAACCCAAGATAGCCTGGCTCCAGCTCTGGCCCCTCCTCAGCTGTATCTCAGCTCTTCGCCGAATTGGGCATTACTGTGAACTCTAATATCACTGTAATCTAAAGGTGGCCCAGGTCTACAGCACTGCAGCCCAGGGTAGCTGGGAGCTGCATTCATGACCAGGCGATCAACCTGAACATGATAATCATTTCCCAGGACCCCCCTTTTTTTGTTGTTGTGGCTGGTGGGAAATGAGTTATAATCCAAGTGGAAAATGTTCCTTCCTCTGTGCTGTGTGAATCACATATACCTTATTGATTCTCCTTTTAATTTTACTCAAGGAAATGGCAGCTGTTCCTTCCAGAGACTACTTTGTTGGGGAGATAAGGATTGCTGGTGTAGTCTGCTGTCATGGGGTTAGTGGATGCCATCTGTATTAGCTTACAACGGCTGCTGTGACAAATTCCCTAAAAGTGAGTGGTTTAAGATAGCACCAATTTATTCTCCTACATTTCTGGAAGTCATAAGTCCAAAATAGATCTTTCAGGGTTAAAATCAAGGTGATGGCAGAGCTGGGTTCCTTCTCGAAGCTCCAGGGAAAAAATTATTTCCTTGTCTCTTCTAGCTCCTAGAGGCTATCACCATTTCTTGGCTTCTGGCCCCTTCGCCTGTCTTCAAAATGCGTCACTTCAAGCTGCTTTCATTGATGCATCTTCTGTTAACTTTGACCTTCTTACTTCCCTCTTAAAAAGGCTTGTTTACATGGGGCCCGTCGGAATAATCCAGGATAGTCTTCTATCACAAGATCCATAACTGAATAACACCAGCAATCTCCCTTTTGCCATTTAAGACAACACATTCTCCGGTACTAGCGATTAAAACACGAGCACCTTTGGTGAGCCATTCTCTGCCTACCACACCCTTTTATAATGGGTGATTAGGTATTATTACTTGCAGCTGTGGTAGACAACGCACTCTGCCTCTCTGGTCACCCTCACCCTTCCACAGGCAAAATACACTCTCCGCCCTTCTAGGAAGGCAGCCAAAGCCCCACACTGCCCAGTCTATGGTAGACAGCTGCAAGTAATAATACCTAACCATCCATGATAAAAGGGGGCTTTGTTTTCTCACATCACCTGGAGTGAGGGATCATGGAACAGAATCCTCAGGTAGCTTGGCAGTAGGAAAGCCCTAAGGGCTACTCTGATGAAGCTGCCTCAGGGACCCCGGTCCTTGGCATCTTTCTGCTCCACCATTCTTTCTCCATATGCAGTCTTTACCTTTTTTTTTTTAACCTTGTTTTCTCCCAGTTATAAGATGGTTGCTGCAGCTCCAAGCACCACCCTGTGCAAAGCAGAAGAGGAGTGTTTCTTTCAATATTAGCCAAAATAGCGTAATGGTACCAACCCTAAAATGACTTCGCATACACTTTGGTCACCAACAACCCTCAAATCTTAGCACCTAAAAAGACAAGAGTTTATTTCTCACTCATGCTACCTGAGGATTCTGTTCCGTGACCCCTCACTCCAGGTCCCGCCTGACAAAATGGCCACAACTGTGTGGCCACACTGGCTTTTAAAGCTTTCAGGTAGAAGAGACACACGTAACTTCTACTCACAATCCAGTGGACAAAGCAGCTCACTCCTGACTCTGTGGGGGAACGGAAGTACCACCCTGGACATGCCCAGGAAGCCAACACTCAAAATCATCTGCAAGGAGAGATACTGACAATTCAGTCTGCCTCTCTGGTCACCTTCTCCCTTCCACAGGCAAAATACTCTCTCCACCCTTCCAGGGAGGCAGCCAAAGCCCCACACCTCCACAACATCAAGTCTGAGGCCCCTGGGGGATACAAAGTGGTCCCTGCGTTAAGTCAGGATGTGGCTCCTCTTGATCCAGAGACCTATAAACTGAAAAGATAGGTTACTAAGTTAACTTTCAAGTGAATGTTAGCTTGAGTGAGGAAAAAAAAAAAAAAAGACCTCTGTTCTTAGAAGCCACTAAGATTTTTTTTTTTTCTTAAGATGGAGTTTTGCTGTTGTTGCCTGAGCTGGAGAGCAGTGGCATGATCTTGGCTCACTGCAACTTCCTCCCCCTGGATTCAAGCTATTCTCCTGCCTCAGACTCCTGAGTAGCTGGGATTACAGGCACCCACCACCAAGCTTGGCTAATTTTTTGTATTTTTAGTGGAGATACAGTTTCATCATGTTGGCCAGGCTGGTCTTGAACTTCTGACCTCAGGTGATCATGATCCACCCACCTTGGTCCCCCAAAGTGCTGGGATTACAGGCATGAGCCACCACGCCTGGCCAACCACGAAGAGTTTTTTGAGGATTGTTTGTTACCTAGCCAATCGTGGAAGATACTAGAAGAATGTTGCTGATGAAATAAAAAACTAAAATAGGCACACTGGCTTAGAGGCTGGGAGGGGCAAGGAGGATGCTGTTGACCAAAGCACTGGTGTTGACCAAAATTGAAGACGGTTCCTTTTATGAAGAGGCGAACATTTGACAAAAGCATACCTAACTTGGAACTTATCATTCCAAGAGAAAATGCTGAAAACACAAGGTTAGCATTGCATATTGGCTGCTTTTGCCTGAGTTTGACAAGACGCTATAAGAAAGAGATGGGCTTACAAAAGAATTGACCAGTTTGCAACCATTGATAGAAGGGAATAGAATCTACAAGTTCAAGGACTTTTAGGGTTGGAAGAGGCATCTGCTTCACAACTTCTATTAGTAAAAGATAAAACTGAGAAATATTATTTAGTAACAAAAGCCAATTAAAATCCAAGAACCTCAAACTCTACTCTCCTGCCCCTTGTGGCAAGAATAGAATCAAGTCTCACCTGTAGCAAACAGATTTTGGGAGTCCTAGCAAACCATCTTACTCCCAGGCCCTGTTTATCTGAGCAACCCCCATCTGAAGCATCACTGGTCTCTGCGTCAGAGGATGAGAGCATGGTTTGACTCACCCATGGACTTCTAAAGGTACACTCAGAAGTATAAAGCATGATCTAACCTATCCTGGAAGATACCAAAAGAATCTGTTTACATGCCACATCTCTCTCCAAAAGCCAGAGAAGTGTAATCCTCCCAGGTGCCCCCAGCAGCCAACACTAGACTACCACAGTTCTGTGAATCTTTTGTTAATAGGAAGGAAAAGCTGTCAAATGACCCAGTAAAATTGCCCTTGGGCCATCTTGGCTTAACTAGGTCCCTTGACCACTGTATTATTTTCCTACAGTAACAAATTGCCACTAACTTGGTAAGGTAACAACAGAAATTAATTATCTCACAGATTTGGAGGCTAGAAATCTGAAATGTTCGGCAGCTCCTTGTTACTTTTGAAGGCCCTACAGAAGAATCCTTCCTTGCCTCTTTCTAGATTCTGGTGGTTCCCAGCAATCCTTGGTATTACTTGGCTTATAGCAGCATCATTTCACAGTCTGCCCCAACATCACATGGTCTTCCTTTCTGTGGGTCTCTGTGTCTCCCTCCTCTTGAAGGAGATCGGTCATAGGAAGTAGTGCCTTCCCTAATCCAATATGACCCACCCCAACTTGATTACATCTGCAAAAACCCTATTTTCAAATAAGATCACTTTCTGAATTCCAGGTGAATGTGAACTTTCAGGAAACACTTTCAACCCAGTATAGCCACCCAGAACTAATGGGAACTGACAAATGAGAAAGAAATGAGGTGACCACTACTGGCTTAGATCAATGGTTTCAACACTAACAGTATATCAGAGTAACCTAGTGGAAAAAAAAAAAGGCTCAGTTTCACACACACACAGATGTACAAACACACACGACTTGACCAATAAATCCAATTTCTAGAGGTAGGCATCTGTATTTTTTAAAAGCTCCTCTCCACCCCAGGTGATTCTACTATTGTGCAGCCAGGGCTCAGACCATGGGATTAGGTTTCATGGTTCTCAATCTTGCTACACAGGGGATTACTACATTATTGGGAATATAGGTGAAATGTAAATAACATAGATTATATAATATTGCATCGATGTTGACTTTATAGTTTTGATTGTTGTACTGTGGATATTTAAATGAATGTTCTTGTTATTAAGTGCAAATTGAAGTAGTTAGGGGTAAAAGGGCAACTTACTCCAAAGGAGTCAGAAACATATACACAAAGAGAGAGAGAAAAAATAGAATGCGGCTCCCTGGACTATGTTAGGCAGGACTTTCTCAGTTACAAATACAGTCATGCACCACATAGCAACGTTTTTAGTCAGCAACAGACTGCATGTATGACACTGGTCCCATAAGATTATATTGGAGCTGAAAAATTTATATCACCGAGTGACATCACTGCTGTATTAAAGTCATAGCCCAACATATTACTCACTTGTTTGTGGTATTGCTGGTCAACAAACTACTGTGATCAGATCCATAGAGCCCAGGTTAATAAAAACACAAAGCCACTGCACTACCAGCTGTATAAAAGTCTAACATATATAATTATGTGCAAGTGGTACATATACTTGATAGTAGTGGTAAATAATTATGTTATTGGTTAATGCATTTACTATACTTTTAATCATTCTTTTAGATGTACTCCTACTTATTTTTTTAAAAGTTAGCTGTAAAACAGCCTCAGGCAGGTCCTTCAGAAAGATTCCAGAAGAAGATAGTG